GGGCTTGTTTCTGATCAGGTGTGAGACAGTTCAAACTGAATTCTTTTTAACTTTGTTTCTTTTCTGGAGTCAGCGTTTTGGGAGTGTGGTGAAACTAGCTCTCCTTGGGGTCTCAGCTTATTTTCTTAGTCTCTGCAGTGCAGCCCTGGTCTTTTCAGGGGACCCCCGTGCACACCCGTTCTGCTGCTGACACTGAATGGGAGAAATGGGAAAATGAGGCTTCTAATAATGTCATTTTGCCTGTATTTCCCGATATCTGCCCCATAGGAGCCCCTTCGCCTCCCACTGACGTTTCCTCGTACCTTATAGGTAGGCACAAAGGAGTTGTGTTCTCTAAGGGGTCTCTGTTAGCCTTCCTGGGAGAGAGAAGACAGCTCTGCAGGGCTGAACTTTCCTTTGAAAAGTAAAATGTCAGCAAGGTTCTTCAGAAGACTCTTACTTATGATGTTTCAGAAAGAAAAAAGCAGTGACTTTTAGAAATTGTACTTGAAACAAGCGAGAGTTTGATCCCTTTACGAGTCCTGAAATCAGACCCTTGGCCCTGCTTTTCAAGTACTTGCCTATGTATCATTTTAAGTGTCATCTTTAGTTTCAGGCCCCAAGAAAGGTGAAAACCCTACTCTTGGTGGTTACTGTGCTTGTTGAAACAGAAAACTGAAAAGTATTAGAACCTTTGAGAATATAGAGTTAGAAAGCTGTAACATTTTGTTCAAGAAGAGCCTCTGGAATGCTTTCTGAACTTTCTTCTCAGTCAAGTGCTAACTCCTGCTTCTTTTAAAACCTAACACAGAAGCCTAATCCAAAAAGCTGTCCTTGGTGATCCCGCCTCACTCTTCCTTCTTCCCTGTATTTCCCTACATTTGTGTCACACTAACTGATGTCACTTGGTATTTAGAATATTCAGCACATGTTTTTTGCCCTTTCCTCCCTCTGGTTCCCATTTCGTCAGTATTGATGCCATTCTCAGGACATGGGAGGACATTCAAGGTGTCATGGAGCCCAAAGAAATCTGTGTTCTGTCTTTGCACTTCAGGGCCAGCTTTCTACACTGTAGAGAGTCTGTAACTTGACATTTATCAGTTCCATAAAAGCTTAATGTTAATTGTCTTTCCACCAATCACTTTTTGGAAATACTGAATTTTTATTTATTTAGTAAGAATTTTATTTCAAAAAAGATAATTGATTTTAGGGTTTTTAAAATAATAGGGGTAATATGAGGGAGGAAATGCCACCTAACAAATGCTATAGTAATGTAAACATTGGTGCTATTTGTATTACTTACGAATTTTTCAGATTGCTATAGAATTTTGCCCTACAATAAGATATCTTCTTTTTTGCTAAACTTTACATAGCTTAGCTAAACACACCATGGCCCTTATTCCTGTCTCTGCGAACTCCAGCACTACAGAATGGGCCTTTGTTTAGGTCCAAGCAGATGAAGAATCTATTTCACATTATCCTGAAACATTTGCAGAGCCTGTCCTCTAATACTGGATAATCTCAAGTGTGTCCAGCTTTCTTGTTAGTGCTGAGGCCCTTCACGCTGCCAGCAACCTAGCTGTTTTCTGAATTAGTAATTAACTGAACTGTACACGTGTGCAGGCATCACAAGCCTTCTTTCAGGCACCTCATGTTCTGCAGTCTGGCCTCTAAGGAGATGCTTTGTGCTTTGTTAATGACTAAGCCAGGATAAGTAGACATCCTGGGTGGTGAGCAACTGAGCTTTTTTGGCAATTTTGACTCCTTTCTTCATTGCATTTGCATAGTTTGTCCCCTTCCTATTGTAGGTCACGGTGAGCCGCTGGGGCAGGCAGGCTGGAGGCTGACACCTGGAGCATGTGTGTGTGGTGTGCCTCCCGCGTGGTGTGGCTCTAGTTATCGTGGTCCCCAGAATAAGGCCTGCATTTCACAATAGCTTTCTTCCCTTCTACTATGCTTATAATATGGTCTTCGTGTTAACTGGTCTTCACCGTGTTCTCATCATTCACCAGACATTAGGAAGGACCTGCTGTGTGCCAGGCATCGCTCCAGGGAAGGCTATTATTGTTGTTATTGTCTTTGAGAGAACAAAATCTCATACTTCATATTTTCTGTGCCTTTCTTTGAAGCAGAGGGTCTCCAGATTGATGGCCAGGGGCTACTTGTTCCTCCTCAGATGCGTCACAGACAGAATGCTATAGTGGCCACACGCCCGTCCCAGCTGGCCCAGCTGAGGGCCCCGCGGGGACAGGAGCAGTCTCCTCAGCCTCTGTGGGCCCAGAGGGGGCGCCCCTGGCCATCTTGCCTTGTTTTCTCCTGCCGTGTGGGGCTGGCCCCTTTCCCTCTGTGCCTCGGGCACCACCATGGGAAAGGAGACCGCGACAGAGAACCCCAAAGAAGTAGAGTGCGTTCGGCACACTACACCGGTGTCGAGCGTGGACGCCAGCCGTGGGCCGAGAGCTGTTCACCTACCTTCTTCTCTTCCTCCCCTCCATTTCTCTCTCTTCGCCAGACACGTGGGCTTGGCTGGCCCTGGATTCTGCTGGAATCGAGGGGCTGTTGGTTGGAATGTGTAGCAGGAGTTGTTGCCCCAGGGAGGTACCCTCCGCGTGTGGCTGGGTGGCCAGCTGCTCAGAGCAGCGGTGCCAGGAGCACGGCAAGTGGAGGCTCTGGAGGACCGGTCGGCAGGGAGCAGGGGACGCATGTGGGAGGGGAGCATCTCACAGGCTTCTGGGCCCAGTCCACAGCCAACCCTCACTCGGGAGCAAAAGACAAAAGAGTGAGTGAGTCATTTCAATGGAGAATTATGAGCTGATCAGCAAGTGTATCTACACCACGGCTTGTGCAGCCTCGGTGAGGGAAGGTGTGAAATGACTCTTCCAATAGTATCGTTTCCTTTTCCCTTTTCCTTCTCTTTAAATCGGAGCTCTCAGACCTCAGTGGTCAAGAGTTGCGTTAGAACTTCAGGCAGCTGCCTCGCTTTTTGCAGTCGAACAGAGGAGCCCAGGGAGAGGGGACAAGGAGAGGGGGCAGAGAGAGGCAGGAGACAGTGGACAACGAGGAGAAGCTTGAGTGGGCATGGCGGGGGTGGGGGTGGGCAACCTGTACTCACGTTCTTTCCCGTAGCTGACCTTGCGTTTCCCCTTCGCCTATGAGGCGTTTGGCCCCAAGTGATGTGCTGCTCTGTGGATGAGTAGCTATAAAACTCATCTTCTTTAAAATCCAGAGGGATCTTAGTTGGAAGATGTAATGATTGACTCAAAACTAAAAATATGTATGTGAGAGAGAGAGAGAGAGAGATAAGCAGGAAAAATGTTGTTTCTGGCCTCTCTAATGGTGGGAGACAGGCAGGGGAATTGTGTCCCTTAACCCTGGTGACTCATTTGAAAAGACCCTGATGCTGGGAAAGATTGAAGATGGGAGGAGAAGGGGACAACAGAAGATGAGATGGTTGGGTGGCATCACTGACTCAATGGACATGAATTTGAGTAAATTCCGGGAGTTGGTAATGGACAGGGAGGCCTGACATGCTGTTGTCCATGTGTCCATGGGGTCACAAAGAGTCGGACACGACTGAGCGACTGAACTGAACCCTGGTCTTAGTTACAGACAACAGTTTCCACTCTGAGCCATGTCAGCAGAAGGGGGCCTTTTAAGGAGTCCAGGCTTGTGGTCTCCTCAGAAGAGCTGGACAGACAGGCTGTCTTCTGAAGCTCCAGGGACAACATGCAGACCACAGTACATAACTGCCCATTGTGACCCGCTGCCACGTCCACCCCGCACTCCCCGCCCAGGCCGCCCCCTGCACCTGCTGAACAGGTGCTCTTCGCCTGTTTGACTCTTCCCATGTCCTGTTTCCGAATCAGCCTTGAGCAGGTGTGTCAGATGATGAAACCAGATCCCAGGTCTGCACCCCAACAGCAGAAGTTGAGAAACAGTCAAGGTAGCTTCCGTGTTGGAGTGTGGGATCTATAGCACAAAGGACCATGTGCTCCTTACAAGAAGACAGCACTAGCAAATACAACACCAAAGTTCCTAATCATGTGAGCTGACGCTACGATTTCAGTGTCCCAACTGCAAAAAAATGCAAATAACGTAGAAATAACACTTTTATGGCTTCAAGTGCTGAGGTTGCTGTGGTTGTCTGTACCCTGGTTCCACATATTTCTCCTCCGTTTACACTCAGGTTGGTTATTTTTCTGGTCTGTTCCCCCCACTGGTTTTCTGTGACATGGTGGCTGTATTCTGTTTGATTAGGCTATCACGAAAGAATGGTTTAAAAGTGGTTTATTCATTAATAAGTCTTCATGGAGCAATATTGCTTTGCAAAGTTTGCTGAGATTTCTGGACTCTACTTTGACCTGACACTGTAGAGTTTTGGAACTGTACCTTAAGTCCCTTTAAAGAAGAGGTTTTAATAAAATTCGAGTTCAGCATGATTTTTATAGCACAAATTTGCATAAACATTTTTATAGATTTTTATAGTGAACAATATGAAGTTCATTTTTTTCAAACTGAGTCATTCTTGTAAAAAAAATTAGCTTGGGATATAAACTTTGACTGTTCTGAAAAACAAGCAAAATCATTTCCACTGTGTGAAGGTCCAAGTACTTCTTCAGTGGACATATTACTCTCCCTGTCCTGGGACTGACACATAGCATGTCATCATGACAAGGCTTCTGTTCTCAGTGCTTCCTTTCTAGCCATTCAGGGTCTTAAATGAAATAGGTTAAAAAGTAGAGAATATGAATGCACATTGGAGGTGACAGTTTTGAAGCTCAGTATGTGGACACTTACCGAGAAGTACTGTGATTATTCTGCTTTTTGTGTGCACACGGTCATGGAAAGTAACCAGGAACCTTGATTAAAGAGTTTCCCCCCAGTTCCTTGGCAACAAAGGATGAGTGAAAAACTTCTCCTTTTTATTTTTTATTTTTTGACCTGAGTAAATAGTTCCTTTAAATATTTTTCTCCACAGAGTATCATCTTTTTATTTTATATACTTTTTTATCATTCCACAGGGGGTTAAATACCTGTGCATTCCAGCAGCGGATTCACCATCTCAAAACCTGTAAGTTGTTTTCTTTCTGTATTATTTGGACATGTTAAAGGGAAAGGACTTGCAGTCACCAGAGCAGAGGGACCTTGGTGCCTGGCAGCTGCCCTGCTGGGAACAGGAGGCCCTCCAGGTCTGTGCTCCAGGTGGCTGGTCCTTCAACTGAGTGGCTCTGGCGGTGTGTGTGTGTGAGGGACTGATCTTGTAAAGGGTCTCAGACCATGCTTTAGCATGTTCACCTTTCCCTGTAAACTGTTGAATTTTGTGGAGCAGAAACAGAACATGAGCCACAAATGCAAGCTACACATGTAATTTTAAATTTTCTAGGTGCCACATTAAAAAGTAAGAAAGAGAGAGGTCAGAACAATTTTAATAATATGTTGTATTTAACTTGGTATACCCAGAAGTACTACCAATGCAACATGTGCTCAGCATTTTAAGGATGAGATATTTGCATCATTTTATTCAAACTAAGTCTTCAAAACCTGGGGTGCTGTTTACACTCACAGCACCTTCCGTCTAGACCAGCTCTGTCTCAATGTCCAGCAGTCCCACGTGGCCAGTGGCTACCCCAGGGGCCAGAGTACTTGGGGAGCTTGTCTGAGTTGAGAGACCAGGCTTTTCTGGTTAGGAAGGCCCTGCCCTCTCTCTCCCACAGCTGGAAGCATCTCCGTCCAAGGAGAGAGTCATAATCGCTCTCTTTTCTAGATCCCCACAGTTGCACGAGGTCCGTGGGACTGGGCTTGGGTGGATGGGGGACAGGGATTGAAGACCCACGAGGTAACAGCTGTGACGCCACCCTGCTCGGTGTCTGGAGGTGATGTGGACCAGTTGACTTTTTCCTGAGCCTGGATTTGAGCCAGACAGCTGAGAGGCTCAGGAGCTGAGGACATGGCTGTCCCAAGCATCCATCGACCAACTTGTTTCACTGCCTGTTTTCAGTCAGATACAAGGACCCTCCCAGATGACACATAGCCATGTTTCAGCAGGAAGAGCTTCTGTAGTTTGAGGATTTGGGAGTCCAAGAGCTTGTCAGCATTCATCTTTCATGGCTCTCAAGCTCTATTGCCTACAAGTCCTATATTACAGAAATGCAGACCATAAAAATCTTACCCCCTAAAGGTTGTCCACTGCTGAATATCAGCCAGCCTTAGTTTTCCACTGCTGGAGAGCAGAGGCATCTTAGGTTATGCAAGAATTTTGTGAGATCCTACCTGTTCGGAGAAAAGGGGAGCATAGTCAGATAGGCTGGTGTGGGGAAGACCGGGGGTTGGGGCAGGGTGGGTGGTGCAGGTCGGACCAGGAAGGGGCAGGGGAGCCTGGCCGAGAGGCAGCAGTTCCCACCCAAGGTCGTGTTTCCACACTGACTCTCCATGTTAGGAAAAGTCCATCTTTAAGATTGAAGATGATAGGGGAAAGACTTTACAGGGTCACTAGGAAAACAGTAGTAGCCTGGATATGGGAGGAGAAGTATCAGAGAACTTCCTTGGTTACTAGTCGTGTCGAGAAACAGAAGTGGTTGGAGGGCATGGTGTGTACGGAAGGAAGTGAGCCACTGCCTTTCTCTCGAGACCACAGCAATCTTCTGCCCATGTTTTGGTGGCTATTTTTAGAATGGTTGCTCTGGTCTTATCTCAAACCGAGATTCTGACATGCTGTTGAACTTGTCAATACCTTATTGGCATTCTCACTGTTTGGAGGAGTCTGATTGCCGCACCCTCTGGGCATTTGTAGTCAGGGCGGATGGCCGCTGTGCTTGGACCACCCTGCCCACCAGGACTCTCCAGCTTTAGTGCTTTGGAGAGGGCAGCACTGGGCTTGATGTCCAGGGGTGAGGACCCTGACCCTGCCCTGTGCGGACATTAGAAATCTCAGGTTCAAGGCCACCTCCATCGCCTTGGGCAGGTCGTTCTCAGGCCCCTGAGCCCTAGTTCTCTCCTCTGCAAAGGCCTGCCTTTAGCGTTTGTGGAGAGGAGGCCATGTGTGGAAGTCTTCTCTGTGACCTCCAAGCACTTTTGAAAACAAGAGTGTGTTTTTGTTCAGAGTGCATTGGTGTGGCCTGAGAGTCACAGGAAGGGCCAATCTGGTACTCAGGAGGATGTGCCCCCGGGAAGGACGGGGACTGAGCCTGCCATAGCCTGTCCCCTGACTTCTGGCGTCTCCTGGGTCTGCTTCTTCTGGCAAAACCAGCCCAGCGACAGTCAACCTGGGCCTCTAGGACTAGCTTATAAGATTTGAACTAGTTCTCTCCTGTCCCAAACATGTACAGAGGTCTTGTAAGATGTGTGATTTGCCTTATTTTAACCCTTTGCTTGTATCTGGATGAGAGGGTGGTCGGCAGGTGGGTGCTGCAGTTGGAAAAGGGGTCCAGACCATAATTCATCAGAGATGGGGTTATGCTCATAGGCTCGTAGGCATGTGGGTGAGTCTTTGGGGAAATGTTTATTTTTGATGCATTAGTAACAGCAGAGCTTACACACAAGTAAGACTTTGGGTGCATAAGTGTCCATGACTCTGTAAACGTGTCTTGCTTTAGTGAAATACTATGAAGATAGTGAAGCTTGGAATTTGAGTGTAGTTCATATGTTAAGAGACAGCCTATGAAACACCTTGAGTTTCTCTTTGCTCGTTACAGGTGTTTCATTGGAAAGCACAGCCTGCAGTTTAATGGTGAGCGTGAGTGCACGATACAGCTAGTCTACTAACGCTGACAGGCAGGGCCCTCGACTGTGTGACCTCCTCCTGTGCTCGTTACTCACCAGACAGGGCAGCGTGTGCAGGCTGACTGTAAGCCCTCAGCTTCTGTACCCCCATTCAGTATAGACAGTCAGGACACACAGCCTCCTCGGGCTCTGGGACCCGGCTAGAACCAGGGTCCTTGAGGTGAGCAGTTTTCTTCTTGGTGCCTAAGAGTTCTTATATTTAGGGACAAAGTACATTCTAGAAAACTGTATTGCTTATTCATTTAAACAGACTTAAAAAGTTGTTTCCAACTTAGGATTTAAGGTTAGTATCCTAAATCTTTACCCACACATCCCTGTACGAATTCTTCTTGCTACTTACATCAGCCAGAAGCCATGACCTTTGGAGAATAACTGCTTTCAGTCACTGCAGAGGCTCCAGAAAGGTCAGTTTTCTGGCTTGGCCATCTCCTCACAAACTCCCCCTCTGATCTTCCAGGAACTTAAATTGCAGAAACCTGGTTTGAGATGACAGTTAACACATCAGAATTTTAGCTCGGTTCCCCCAACCACCCTGCCTCACAAAGTCAGGAAACGTGAAAGTTCAGGGTCTCATAGTGGCGACAACCCCGATCCAGGCCAGTGTGTTCTGCTTGATTTGCAGAATTATAGGCATCGTAGGCTTTGTCTGAGACACACACACCTCTTACCAGTGGCTGACGTGCAGTGGTTGAACTGAGGCTTCTGGAAATGTTTGCTTTTGCTTTCTCTGTGTGCTTCCTCAGGCGAGTCATTGTAACCTCATTCTCTCCTCTGCGAAATGTCTATCTCACACAATTTCTGTAGCTTTAGGTGAGGTGGTGAAAGTGTTTACAGACCCTAAGTATCTCCAAAGAATTAGCTTCCATTTTCTGCTTATTCAGGAAAGGAGTGTTCACATGTCTTGAGAGTGAGTGGTTGGAGGTATTGCTGCTTATTCATTCTTGTTTTAATATTTTTCAAATTGTTGCCTGTATTTAGACACCATAAGAGGAAGGTTATCATTTTGTCTTCTCTGAGGAGCTGGCAGGTTTGCATCTTCACAGCAGAGCCTTGATGACAACAGAGGCTTGAGAGCCAAGCAGGGTCTAAATTTCTTGGGGTTTTTGTGGGGAGAAGAGGCGTCAGCGATGCAGAGAGCTTGAAGTAAACAGCAGTAGACCCTCCTTGCCTCTCCCACCTCCTGTCTTTTTGTGTGTGTTTTCTTTAGTTTAGCTCAGCTCATGTTTCTTGTACTTCCAGCTCTCTTTTTCTCTCATTTACATTTTACTTTAATGTTAAAAAGCAGTTTTGCAAGATTAGAGGTAGGTGGGCCCTGGAGTACTGTCCTACTTCCAGACAGAAATGCACATACATAACTCCTGAGGACTTTGTAGCAGAAAGGAGAAATGTGTAGAAAATGTGTGTTGCTTTCTTTGTAAGATTTCACCTATTCAATGTAAAAACTTAGTTTTTAGTCTTAGACTATGTTTCTTGCTTTTGGTGGGTGAAACTGTGAAATGAAGAGGTGGTAGGTGGTAGAGAGGGTTTTTTGTTTAATTCTTTTTAAAATGACCTTATCTGGCACAATGAAATGTACACTACACATGCTTCCCCTGACTTTTCTTTTTTTTTCCCCCTGACTTTTCTTAAGTGTTGACAGTGCAGGAAATGTAGGACTTGGGGAATCCTTGACAGAAGCGTGTTGAAGGCCATGAGGTCTGCCGGGTGGGGAAATGTCTCTGTCCTGCTCACCTCTGCTGCGGTGAGAGCTGCACGGTCAGTGTGGGGCCCCAGGGGTGGAGCCGGGGGCTGGACAGCTTTACAGGAGGAAGAGCTAACTGATCTGAGCCACCCCCAGAGCCAGTGCCCAGGAGAACACGCCACCCATGCGCTTTGTTTTCAACATCTTTTCTGAGGAAAAACCCCTGAGGATGCTGGCCTTTCCTGGGCTTTTTCTCCTTTGCTTTTCTATATACATACTGCACACACTTGTACACACACTTGTACACACGTGTACACACACTTGTACAGACACATGTACACATACTGTGCACACATGTTTGAACTCTGATGAGGGTCAGGAGAAGCAGCCTGGTCTGTCTGCTGGCTTTGGGGGAGCCCAGCTGCCCGCATGGTGCTGGGCCAGACCTCCCCCAAGCAGAGTCCTTCCCGCCACAGACCCCTCAGTGCGGACCACAGCCCGCACATCCTGCCATCTTGGAGTAAGAAGTGATTGTTCAGGTTCAGAGGATGCACATGGCATGGCATGGCATGGCTGTGCTGGACCCATCTTCCTGACCTTCCTGAAGGTCAGGGAGACCCTGCTGGCTCTGCTCTTGGCCTCTGGGTGGGTGCCCTGGCCGTGAGGAGGGCCAGCACTGACCGCAGAGGAGGAGCTGGGGGTGCTGGCCACTGCCGGGCTGTTTGCCAGCCCCACGGAGGACAGCGCTCGCCAGGCCCACACGTCTGCTGCACTGACAGAGCTGCACACTCACGTGGGCGTGCTTCCTGTGGACGCACCCTGCCGGCTGTCCCCCGACAGAGCGCGCGCCACGTCTCTGCGTGGAAGTAAAGGCACAACGCGGAGACCAGGAATAGGGAACCTGCCGCCTGTGGGGGTGTGCTTCCATCTGGGCTTCTGCTTTGATCTGGGGTTGAGCAACAGAGGCCTGAGCCCCGGGGGTTTCCCGCGATGGGGGAGGGGCTGCAGTGACCAGGCCTGGGCTCCCGTCATGAGCTTCCCTGGAAATGACCCACCCTGGGGGCCCTGAGAATGCCTGCCTCCTGGCTTTCCTCGGAAGAGGTGCTTCTAGGAATGTCTGTCTGGCGCGGCCTTGTTGCCCGGTCCTGTCCATGAGTCAGGTTTCACGGCGAGGCTTGGAGCAGGCCCTCCGTCAGCGTCCTGACTCTCCTGCCCTCATCCCGACACGGTGGTGGGCAGGAGCTGTCTGTGGGCTTTTCCTGGACTTAACGCCTGATGCGGACAGAAGTGATGGAGGAAAGGCCGGTGGGACCCTCCTCTCGCTTCCTTGTCTGGGGCCCCTCACACGCTTGCTCTGGGCTCAGGTCAGTCTGCACGTCACCCTGCTGATCACACCCCCGCCCTAGGGGTCCAGGAAGGGAGCTCAGCTGTCATCTGTGCAAGACGTCGGTGACCTCACAGGGCCGACACATCCCCAGGACAAGTCCCTGGCCTGGCGTAGACTTCGCGGTGTATTCTGAGGCCACCCATGTCCTTCACAAGCTCAGGCTACTATGTCTCGCCTCCTGACTGCCTCTTCCTTTGCTGGTAGGAGGTCCATCCCATCCATGGAGGACCACAGAGCATGGACTGCAGTGTGGCGCGTCCTCTTGGGAACCCTGTGTGGTTGCCTTGCCACTGTGTGGCCGGCCTGAGGGACAGAGGTGACTGCCCTCAGCCGCCAGCTAAGGCTGGCATGAGCCTGGGGTCTGGGCACACGGCCCGGCTGCTGGCCTGTCTGCAGGGGAGACCATGGTAGGCGGAGCCGCTCCTCGGCCACAGGAGGGTCTCAGTGTCCTTAAACTGTTGCACTTGTTGATGTCAGGTAGATGGTGCCTGGCTGTAAATAGCAGGATTGACAGTGTTTTAAGTTATAAAGACATTGATTTACTTCACTCCCTGCCTAAGATGCCCAGGGCAAGTGCTCCAGGTCTGGGCAGTAGCTCCCAGAGCCCCCGTTGCACCCTGAGGCCTGTCGTCTGTGGTCACAGGGCAGCTGGCCCAGCTTTGGGCACCAGCTGGCCACCCAGTGCCCTGCAGGAAGCCTGGGGCAGAGACCCTCCTTTTGTCAGGAAAGGAGCCCTCCTGGAGTCCAGCCCCAGCCTCCCCTCTGCTTCTCTGTGGCTGGAACTGCAGGGAAGAAGGGAGCTTCTGACAGCCTGGAGGGGTGGGGACGGATGAGCCTCCGCCAGCCACCGCCCCCCCCCAAGCCTCCTCGGCCCTTCCTTGCCCCCAGCCTCGGCACTTCCCATCAGAAGAGCTCATGCTCAAGGCGAGTTTTACCTGAGATAAGTGATGGACGCACCCCGCCCTGGACGCTGTGCTCAGCGCTGGGCAGCCTGACCCCTGGGGCCACCGCACTCCTCCCTGCCCTTTGCCCGGCCTCTGCTCCAAGGTCTCTGCATGTCGGGGTCGCTGCAGTGTCTTCCCTTGCCTGTCTTACACCATGTCGGTTTAGGGGTGGCGCTTTAGTACCCGGGGTCGCCGTGTGCACCCACATTGGGAGCATGTGTGCCCAGGGAGGTCAGCAGAAACACCCCCACCTCACCCTGCCTTGTGGTCTAGCTGGGTCTCCACTCAGAGTCTGGAGTCTGTGGGTGGGACCCTGGCCCCTCCGCACACGGCAGCCTCAGGCCGTGTGAGAGATGCCTGCCCCAAAGTCCTCTGTGCCTGCTGCCCGGATCCAGGACACTCGGCTTGCTCAGTTGCTTCTGCAGTCCACGCCTGGCTGAGTCTGTGTGCCCCACCTGAACCCCCTGTTCCTCTGGGGTTCGTTCACCCGGTCAGCCTTCATGGAACCGCAGACCTATGTGTGGCTGCGAACCACGTTCTGTGCATCTCTGAATCTCTCCAAGCTTGGCAGAGTCCCTGCTGCACGCGCAGTGCTCAGTAGGTGGTGTGCTTTCAGCCCATGGGCAAAATCCACTTCAAGGCAGGAGACTTGGGAAAGCACAGGCTCTGTAGTTCCCCTGAGAGTTTTCCTCGACTCGCTGCACGGTCTGGACGACACTGCTGGGCGTGAACCAGGGGCGGGAAAAGAGGGCTGCTGAAAAGTGAAAGTGAAAATGGCTCAGTCATGTCCGACTCTCACGACCCCATGGACTGTAGTCCACCAGGCTCCTCTGTTCATGGAATTCTCCAGGCAAGAACACTGGAGTGGGTTGCCATTTCCTTCTCCAGGGGATCTTCCTGACCCAGGGGTTGAACCTGGGTCTCTGGCATTGCAGGCAGATTCTTTACCATCTGAGCCACCAGGGAAGCCATAAAAGCTAAGGGTCAGGAGAAAAGATTTCGGTCTCATGGTCACGCGGGACCTCAGAGTCTGCGAAGCCCAATGTTGTGTGTTTCTCTGTCCCGGCCTGTGAAGCCCGGTTCCCACTTCCCAGTGAGGCTAAGGGAAGGCAGGTGACGTTCCCACAGTCACACATTCGGTCAGGCCCCTCAGGCTTGGGGGCTGCAGTTCCCCTGCCCTCAGGGGACTCCTGCCCTCAGGACCTCCCCCCAGACGGTCATACATGAACTGGGGAGTCCACACTGGGTGGGTACCTCCCTCACCTGGGGGGGGGGGATCACTGTGCTGCTGGGTGTTGAGGGGCCCAGACTGACCGTGGGGCTGGGCCAGACCTGCCCCCAAACATCCGTGTGGCCCCTGCATGTTTCGGGGGTTCCTTGCAGAGAACTTCCAAAAATCCCAGTGGATGGGCCGTCCCCTCCCGGCCTCAGCACTGTGGGTCAGATTCAAAGCCCTGGACAGTGACTGGGGTCTGGACCTGTGGATTCAAGACCTTTTCAAGAAACCTCAGCGGGTTTTTCTTTTCCTCATACGTTGAGTAAAGTAGAGAGATGTCACTTCTCTCTTTTTTCCTCCCCACAGGACACGACATTTCAAAGAAAGTATTAGATTCATCCATGAGTGCCGCCTCCAGGGCGAGGGCTGCCTGGTTCACTGGTACGTGTGTCCCTGCCTGACGGCGAGGGCCTGCTCTGCGCTGCTCAGGGTCTCCCTGAGCGTCCAGCACCCACCCACCTGACCCCGGCCACGTGTCAGCCATGGTTGATTTTTGTGCAAAGAGAGCCAAACAGTTGTTCCTTCCTTGTCACTTAGCATTTTCATTTTCTCAGTTAGGTTTTTGCAGAGACTGTCAAGGTTGCTGGAAAAAAGGAGCCCCTTTTCCAGCCTCTCCCAACATCCTTTCAGAGCTTGGCTTTGCTCGGTAGTCATTCGAAGCTCTTGTTTTTTGCTGGAGAGTTTGGGCTGCATATGTGGGTGTTTAGCATTGTGTTACTGTCACACCAGAACAACCATCTCTCCTCCATTTACAGATTGGGGCTTTTATGTGTTTGGAGCTTGTACTTGGCTCTAAGCAGAGATGAACAGACTTTTAGAATTCAGCAGGTCTATGCATTCACACACCATATGTGTGGTATAAACACATACCTGTGTACACGTTCTGTGGCGAAGGCTTCTGCTGGGCACAGACCCCAAGGACAGTGCCCCCGCCTGACACAGCCAAGCGCTCAGGGGCTGCGGGCCCTCGTTGCATCACTGCCTAGTGCTTATGCCGAAGACATGGCTAACAGTGACAACATAAGCTGATATTCATAATGGTGACACATCTGGGGGACCAGAGGCCAGTGTTCTGGGACAGAAGCCTGCTGTCATTAAAGCACGGATCAAACAGGCCCCCTCATTCCTGAATGAAGTTCTGGGTTCACGAGAGAATCTCAAGTCATTTGAGTTCCCCCAAGGAAGCTGCTGTTGCAGGGAAGGCTCTGCGGAGACGCACGGCCTGCCTCTGGGGGTGTTGCTGCCCCACAGTGGGATGAGGGGCCCACCATGTGGACCAGGGGAGCCTCACAGAACCCCCAGTCGGGCAGAGGGCACTGGGGAGACTGCCTGTTTTAACGGTGTTCTGCAGTTTTATGCACTTGCAACAGTGAATTTTCATTTTAAAAGAGCAGGGCGTGGAATAAACACAAAGTCCAGGTTTGTGAGGTTCGCTCGCATTTGCTCCAGCACTCTCTGCAGTGCAGCCAATGCTGTTTTGGGGGGTGAGCATCTCCCCAGCTGCACCCCAAGAGGATGTGAGCTTTTTAAAAGATTTATCAGTATTTCTGATACACAGCCCAAGGGAAGAACCACTACTTGAAAGTGGTTTTTATTGTTATTTATATTTGAATAAGTGCAGGGCTGATATTCTAGGAATTTGTGTTTCATTTGGTTGTGTCAATCTGAAGATAAGCTTTTCTAAAAATGAGAAATTTGCTAAACTTCCCCATCTTAAACCGTTGCTGAGCACTCCAAGTCTGACGTAGCACAACCTCTCTGTGACCGCCTTAATTTGCATGTACATTTAAAACTGGTCCCCTTATTCAGCCTGCTGGAGAAAACTGGCCTTTATCACCTGCAGAGCGTCCCCGCCCCCACACCCCAGAGCACGTGGAGTGTGCCATACAGGCACTCTGCTTGGGTCTGTGGAGGATATCAGAGAATGTTGGGTAAGGGCATCTGTATTTAATGAGTTTTTTAAATGATAGACTTGACCCTTATGTACCTAAGAAAGTGTTAGTCACTCAGTCATGTCCGACTCTTGGCGGTCTTATGAACTGTTGCCCACAAGGCTCCTCTGTCCATGGGATTTTCCAGGCAAGAATATTGGAGTAGGTTGCCATGTCCTCCTCGAGGGGATCTTCCCGACTCAGGGACCGAACCCGGGTCTCTTCCATTGCAGACAGATTCTTCACTGTCTGAGCCACCAGGGAAGAGGCACCTAAGATCAGACTCTAAAAGTGTGAAGCCGTCCGAATGGCTGGGGGTGTGCCTGACTGACTGCTGGGCTCCTGGACCCGTCAAGTTCCCAGATGTCCTGTCCCTACTTTTCTGTCCAGGGGACGGGGACTATCTGAAGGGGGGGTCAGGAGAAAGAGAATCAGCACACGAAGTGCCTGCAGCCATAGCCAGTAGAAAACCAATCAAGACTGAGGCCGTGTGGGTGAGGAGTGCCCCAGACCCTAGTGTGGGAAAGTGGAGAGAGCTGGTATGCTTCTGAGGACCCACTGGCTAGCTGTCTACTCACAACCGAGCACAGGCGGCTTCCTAAATGAGTCCCCTGACTGCCCCTTTGCTGTGTGGCTCTCAACCTGCAGCCTGGCGGGCGTCTCCAGGAGCGTGACCCTGGTGGTCGCTTATATCATGACGGTCACCGACTTCGGCTGGGAGGACGCCCTGCACACCGTGCGCGCAGGCAGGTCGTGTGCGAACCCCAACCTGGGCTTCCAGAGGCAGCTGCAAGAGTTTGAGGAGCTCCAGGTCCACCAGGTAACTGTGCTCCACCTTCCCCCACAGGCCGGCTGGCTCACGGGCTCCCTCCAGCCCCTCGCAGCCATTCTGCCTTCCACAGGCCCCCAGTTAGCTTCTGCTTCTCTGCCTGGGGGTCAAGTGCAGTCATCTTGATCAGACTGGCTTTCACGTCCTCAGGCCAAAGCCTGGAAGAAGTCATTCTGTCGCGCGGCGCCCACTGGCTGCCTCAGCGCTGACTGAGGCCACCTACGGGCCCCGCACCGCTGGGTGAGGGCCGTGGGCGGGCTGGGTGAGGGCGCGGAGGTCTGGCCGCGCCGTGTGACGCCCCGCGGGTCTCACTTCCCCAGTTTCGCCAGTGGCTGCGGGAGGAGTATGGAGAAAGCCCGCTGCGGGACGCCGAGGAGGCCAGGAGCATTCTGGGTAAATACAAGGAGCGGGGGCGTGCGGAGCCCCCGCCGGGCGCGCGGCGCTGGGCCGGCCTCCGAGGCCCGCCCCCGCTGGCCTACGGCAGCTACACCCCGGAGACTTAGCCCGTGCCTCGGACGCCCACCTTCCGGCTTCTAGTCGCTGCCTGACCTGAGGACCGGAAGGGGGTGTCCAGTGGATCCAGGCTCCTCTCGAGACCCCCCCAGCCGCCCCTCCCCCCAGCTTCTGTGCCGCCAGACACAGCTGCCTGTCATGCGCACGGCTGAGCCGGGGTGTGTGTGACAGAGGTGAGTGTGTGTGCGACACGGGTGTGGCGCGTGTGTGATAAGGTGTGGGGGCGTGACACAGGTGTGGGCTGAGACACTGTACACAGGTGTGGGGCATGTGTGTGTGACAGGCACGTTTGCACACAGGTGTGGGTGTGACACGGGTGTGTGTGTGCATGGGTGTGTGCGTGTTGGGGTGTCATCATGAAGGCCACACTGCCCAGACTGATCTCGTGGCCTCTCCCCGTCTGAGACCCACTGGGCGGTGTTGGGAGGTGACTGTAGAGAGGCTCCTCCAGAGCAGCCTGGGCCTGCGAGCAGACAGCGGGGAGACCCCTGTGGCTGTGGGGGCAGCCTCCTGAGGGTGGTTCTTGGGTGTGGAGGGGTGAGCAGGCCCCCCTCCTGCCCACCCTGCTCAGCCCTGCCCTTCTCGGAGTCCCGCTGGGCCCCGTCCGCCTGCACTGGTGGTGTGTGGGGAGCACCCCAGACGCCCGCCCTCAGCTCCCGTCCAGCTCCTCCCTCCTGGCCTGCTGCCGTGCTCTTCCTGGGGCTCTTCACAAGGCATGCATGCACCTTTGGGATTTAGGAAGAACGAGCAGTTACCAGGCACTGTCATGGGTTTATGAATATGTTTAAATGCCTGTGAACTCTTTAAGCACCTCTGTCTGCTGTCGATGTAAGATGATCTCAGCTACCTCATTAAATGGTTTCTGAAAAGCTGTTTTTCATTTTTCCGGTTATCTCTGCAGCCTTGTGCTGAAAGTGTGTGGTCACAGTTGCTTTGGAAGCCAGAGGGAGAGGAGTGCATCTCTGGGCTGCTCAAAGCTTCTGACTCAGGCTTTGGGAGCGCCTGGTGGCGGGTGACTGTGACATCGGGCTGTGCTGGCTGTGCTGGGGGAGACCCACAGTGTGGCCCTGGGTGTGGCCCTTTGTATCGACCCATGTGGTTTAAGCACTCAGAGCTATCCGAAAAAACATACTCGGCCTCTCCCTAACAAGCTTTCTCTGAACCCTGCCACAGAAGGAACCCTGAGTAAGAACAGCTTTCCCTGCATGCAAAGGGTGGGCCCAGATGAACCCCTGGGGCCCCACACGTGTGCAGAGGGCAGGCCCTGTGAGACCCTGGGGTCCCGCACTGCAGAGGGCAAGCCCAGATGAACCCTGGGTGCCCCACACATGTGCAAACCCCAGCTGGACAGCGGGGAACGGAAGCATGGCTGCGAGTTCCCCACCAATAGCTGAGACAGTTTGCTCTAAAGTAATTTTTCCCTTAAACCAAAAAGGAATGTGAATATGTGAACAGAAGTATTTAGGAATCCGCGTGAACGCTTCAGTGTCTGCAAAGTGTGAATGCCCAGATGCATTCTTGCACCTGAAATGCTATTTCAATGCTTGTCACCTGTGACATTCTTTCTCCACAGCCGCCCCAGGCATTCTGAAATCCTGGTCCTTTCTCAGAAGACCATAATGCACCTGAAACAATGCCAGAGTTTAGGTGCTGCCAGAAGAAAAGCAACCAGAGTTCAGTTTAAGTGTCCAGACCTGATGTGTGAACGTGCACTTGTGTTGCTCCATGTTGAGAGCTATGCACCCTCTTTGACAAGAGAACGATTTTGACCTAATTCCTTCTTTGCTGGAAGCTGTGCTGCTCCCAGGCTGTCTCAGGGCCCTGCCGGGCGCACCCTGCTCCTCGGGACTGTCTCCTGGGCTGTGTTTCATCCAGGGTGTGTGGCCCTCGCCACGTGCACAAGTGCATGTTGATAAAGGGGTTGTGAGGCCCCATGTACCTCCCCGTCCTCAGCCTGGGCGTGGGGCCCACATGCTTCTGCCATGGACACCACGAGGCGGGTTTGGGGGCTGCTCTGCTGTATTTTAAGGCCACTGCCCTCCTCCAGAAGGAGGTGTACTGACAACAGGAGACGAGAACTCCCATCCCCGAGACAGTGGGTGCCCTGTGAGCAGAGGGAAATCAGAGAGGGGGTGCCCCGGGCTCCCCAGGGACTTCTCCTCATTCCAAGCTCGGCTTCAACCCCAGAATGTTAACTGGTGTGGACAGCAGTTTAAGACAGTTTCCCAGTGTTTTCTCCTCTAACTCGCGGCGGGTGGGGGCGTAGGGGTTGGGTGAGGGAGGAAGGAAATGGGACTTTTGCTTAAAAGAGAGGTTTGGCTGAAGGGAAGGAGCCGAGGGCTCGTTGGCTGCGGGAGGCTTGGCCAGTGTCCTGAGTGTCCAGTGCCGGCGCGCTCCTGCCACGGGCTCAGAGAGCACCCTGTGCCAGAGCAGGCCTGAAGGGTGTGGGATGATGCGTGTTAACATGCTGATTCTGACTCGACAGGCCTGCCTGGGGAATGCACAAGTAGTCCGTGTGTAGGTGCTGGGTCTCAAGGCATGAGGGTCCCCCAGGAACCACCTGTGGGGAAGTGCAGGGGCAGAGCCTCGGAAGACCCAGGCTGAGCACAGGGCCTGAGGAAACAGCACCAGGGAAGTAGGCTCCTGCTGGGACCCCACTGTTTGTGGCACCAACGGCAGCCACCTGGTAACTGCTGCTCTGCAGGTCGCACACTGCCCCCGCGAAACGTGTAAACCACAGAGCAGGTATTTCATTCACTGGAGGCTCAGAGAGGCCAAGGGACACACCAGAAACTACGGATGTTAGTGTGCTTTGCCTGCACCTGGCCTTCTAGTCCCAAGTCAGCGTCAGGGTGAGAGGGAAGAGGGAGCAGTGCCCCGACCTTTGGTCTCAGGCTTGTGAAGCTGACCCCAGGCCCCGCGGGAGCCGGCCCCGCCGCTGTGTACACTCTGTCCGAGTGCAGCTTCCCACCTGCTCCCCCAGCCTCTTGGGGGTGGTTTGGGGCATGGTGGGTGGTAGTCAGTTCCTGTCCTCACCGAAAGATCACGGACATTTCCATTGGGATGGTATTGACCACACTTAGATGTTAGAGGTAGAGGCCCTTCCCCATCGAAGCCCAGATGGGTGTTTAGTTTACATGGACGGGGACGGTGACCCACCTGCCTCAAGGCGGAGCAGGCCGTGGCCCTGGCAACTTCCTTAGGCTCCCTTTTCTATGATTTCCTCCAAACGAAGGTCTGTCCAGCCTGGTCTTGGAATCGTGGCCAATGGTGGAGGAGACCTGCGCTGCTTCTCTTTGTTCGATCACTTGCTGGTTCACGTGAGAAATGCTTGTTCATCCCAGCAGGCGCTCTGGGACCCAGGCAGGATGCACAGACCCGCCCTGAGTCTCAGAAATGCTGGTTGGTGGTGACAGTTGGGAAGTCAGCCATGAGCACTAGAGTGGGTGCTCCTGGGTCTACGTTTGGGGAGGAAACAGGCCATCCCAGTGCGGGGTAAGGGCCGTGTCCTGGGAAGGCGTCCCAGAGACAGAGGCTGAAGCCGAGTGCGGGAGTTGCTGCATGCGGGGAGGGGCGTCTGGCGGGGCCGGCACGTGTGCAGGAGCGAGGGCACAGCCACTGTGTGCCCGGGGCGAGCGTGCCGTGCACGGCAGGGAGGGGCAGACAGAGCTGCAGCAGCAGGCTCGGGCCCTCCATCTGCTCGGTGCTGCCATGCAGCGACTGGTTGGTTCGACCATCCCGGGAGCTGGGGGGCTGGGCCCAGCGTGGAGCCTGGCAAACGTGTGGACGCCATCCTGCGGACGTGGCGAGGGGCTTGCCAGGCGTTCTGGGTGAGCAGGCACTGTGATGGGTGTGGGGGAGGGTAGACGGGCCACGGTGGGGGCCGCGCAGGGGGCCGCCATCATGGCTGTCCAGGTGATCGTCGCAGCCTAGGGCATGGCTGTGTGTGGAGATGAACAGGCCCAAGGGAGCGAGGGGGCTTGGGGAGGCTGGAGGTGGGCAGCTGCTCCAGGGCTGGGCCCCCGGGGCTTGCTCCCTGGCGCTGGCTCCCTGGGTCGGCCTCTTCCAGCAGTGGGCTCTACCTCGTCGAAGACAGACTGAACGGGGCTGCCAGCCTGAGGGGTCGGCGGGGCTGCCCCCGCTGGGACCCAGCTTTGCAGCCGAGGTGCTCAGGTCTGTCCACGAACCCGGAACTAACTCCCAGGAGCTAGACTTGTGATGATTAACGTCCAATTTAGATATCCAATTTGTTAATTTATTGTGAAAGAGAAAATACTAGGTTAATAAAGACTAATTTGACCCCTAACCAAGTTGTCTTTCATTACCAGATTTGGGGAGCCAGTGTGCTGTGCACCTTACCTGACACAATGTTCTAAGTCAGATATGTCTCAATAAAGCTGAGAAAAAAGAGGAAAGCATCTTGTGAACTGGTCCTGAGGCATCACCCTGCCCTCCTGACGTGGGGCTGAGGTCTGGGTGCGGGGGTGGTGGTCCTGACAGATGCTGTTGCTGTGGCGCCCCGGAGCAGCTGCCCAGCCTCCACCACGGAGGTCTCCGTCTGGCCCTGGCAGCCACCCCGGTGTGCGCCCTCCGCCCACACTGGCTCTCTCAGGGTGTCTTTGTTAATCAGGCTTCTCCCTGGCAACGGTTCCTGCAGGACTTTATGGAGTGCTGGCTCCCCAGGTCTGTCCCAGCAGGGACTCCCACTTCCAACTTTGGGGCTGCTCCTGTTGCTGCTGCTTCGAGACAGCCCGTGAATCCCAGTGTCTGTGCCCTGCTGTGTCGTGTTGTTAAAGTTCAGAGGACTCCTCAGCCCTCATGGGAGTCACATGTGCAAAGCCAAGGGGCATGTCGAGCCCAGGTAGCTTGGGCAGCAAGTGGGATTCAGAGCTGTTCACGACCTGCCGCCCTGCACACCAGCGTCTAGTCTTGAAAACAGGGAAACATTAACACACAAAATCCTGTGATCCCACGTTAGGTGACCCCTCCCATGCTGACACTGAGTTATTAATAATTTTATCAAGAATGTGCTTTCAACATGCCTGTATTTATAGATGTGTTTAACAAGAAATCACCAAGACCTTGGAGGGAAGTTCCTCTTCCCTTTCCTTTTTATTGCCCAGAGGAAGGGAGAAAAAAAACAACAACAGTGGTCTCTGACTTGTCCCTGAGGCTTGAGAATGTTCACTGTCCCTTCTGAGGATGTACCGGGGTCTCCTTGGGCTGTCAGGGGCTTGAACGCAGGGATGCCAGCTGCATTTCAGGGGTACACTTGCCTTCTCGTTTCCTCCCAGCTGCAGCGACGGGCTGTGACAGTTCGGCCAGGAGCGGGGTTAGCATTCTCTCCTGCCCCCGAGGCCCCCACCTCGACAAGGGCTGCAGGGCTGGGCTGGGCTCGCTGGCCACAGCTGAACACTTGCAAGTCTAGGGGATTTTAGCTCCAGGTGAGGCCGATTACAAGGAGATAGCCGTCCACAATTCCCTTTCCTGAAGCCTCTGGTTCAGTTTGAGAGGATGTGAGGGGCAGCATCGACTGGTGAAGGAGCCAGGCTGCCAGTGTGCTGATGGGGCCTGAGAGCGACCTTCGTACCAGGCCTGTTTAGGAGACCCAGGCATGGTGGGGGCTGAATCTGGGTGAGCAGCCCCTCCCGGGGTGGCGGGATGGTTTCTGGAGACAGTGCGGGTCACGCCAGGTGCCGTTGGTGAGCTGGACTCAGGCAGGCGCACCACTCGGGCGCTCTGTGCACACAGCCAGGCGCTTCCCTCAGAGTCCACTCGCCCCCAGATGCGGCCAGGCCGGCACAAAGAGGAACCATGCTCCCTGGTGAGCGGGCCTGCTCTGTCCTCCGCCAGTCACTCTGGGTTTCCCCAGGGCACTGATGGCAGCCTCTTTAGAACATAAGAATCAAAAGGCCTCCATGTGTGCCCCAGAGAAATGTCACCTTCTGCTTTGCAAAGGGTGCGCCCTTCACGGCCAGAGGCTGCGGGCACCCAGCTTCCTCAGAAGGGCGTCCAGAGAGGCCCCTCCTGCGGGACGTTCCGTTCCCCCGGCGTGTGTGCCGCGCTCGGGCAGTGACAGGCCAGCAGGCAGGAAGGCGTGAGGCCAGTTCCCTCTCGGGGGCACAGGGGGTCTCCTGGCTCCCACAGCACAGCATCCCCTCCTGCCATGTCCAATGCCGGGAGCTCGGAGCTGCGGGTCCCAATGTGTAGCTGGGGTGGTGGTGGCGTGGGGCAGGGTGGGTGCGGCCTGGGCTGGAAACCAAGCGGCCGGTGGGGTCCTGGAGTCTCTGAAACAGCTGGGGAAGCCGCGAGAAGGCAGCTCCCTCCCAAGGGGAGCCTCTCCGCGGGGAGCCTGGTGTGAAGGAAGCACCCCGGGAGAGCTGGGTGGGGCTGGCCGTTGCCCTGCTGCTCTAGGGACCCCCTTGTGCACCCCGCCTCCCATCTGGAGGACAGGATGGTCAGCAGTCACTGAGCACTTCGTGTGTGATGTTTCCCTGAAGTCACACCCTCTCAGCAGTCTCCTCACATGGATTTTACTATTATCCCCAGTTTTCGGATGAAGAGGCCAGATTCTAGAGAACTTGAGTGTTGCCCAGTCTCAGGTCAGAAAGTGGCCGTGTGAACCCTGGAGCCCTGCAGCCTGACCAGCCACTCCAAGGTCGCCTCCCTCTGAATACCAGCGTCCCTGCAGGCGCAGGCATTCCTGCAGGTGTGCTCTTAGGAAGCCGTGTGAGGAGCAGCCAGAGCCTGGTGAGACCTGGGGTGTCCAGAAGTACAGAGGGCTGTGTCCCGTCCTGACTCCCAACCCCGAAGCGCAGCCGGCTGGCAGGGCGTCCTGCTCTCTGTGGGCCCGACTCTGTCCCACCAGCCGGGCCCTCCGCAGGGAGGGGTGGAGACCCCATGACAGGACGGAGGACACGCCCCCGGCTTCCAAGAAGTGTGAGTGTGGGCAGCTGGTGCTGAAAGTGGGTCCCAGAGAGAGGAGCCCGGTCGCCTGCACGCTCTGCCCCAGAAGCGTGGTGTCGGGAACCAGCCTGTGACTCACCGCCCTCATCTTTAAAAACTGTCCCTGAAGTGTCTGTGCCTCCCGGTCGGCCCCCGACCTGCACTTTCCCACAGCCCACCTGGGCAAGTGACCCCTCTGAGGGAAAGCCAGCGGACTCAGGGCTCACCTGACGTCTGCCCCACGAAGGTGGGGCAGGGCCCCGGTCAGGCCCCGGTGCCCACCTGCGCAGGTGCCCGGGACTGCCTGGGGGAGGGGAGGGGAGGGGTGCGGCTTGGCATCCCTGCCTTCAATGGCCTTTCAGTTGAGCTGGGGACGGGAGGCAGTCGCTCCAGAATGTTCTGTGAACAAACACTGCACTTAGAAGCACAAGTGCAGGCCAAGAGGGCCCCCTGTGCAGGGTATGCTGGCTGTGGATGGAAACCGGGGGAGGCGGCAGTCAAGAGCATGCAGGGCGGGGTGGAGGGACATGGGCGCAGGCACAGCTGGGTGACCTGGAGGCATGGGGCCCTGGCTGTGACTCGCGGGCAGGGTGGGCTGGAGGCGGGGACAAGAGCCGTTGTGCGGGTGGGTGTCCCATGGGACGCCCACAGGCCCTTCCCAAAGACCATCCACCAGGCAGGGTGGCACGCGCAGGTAGGTCACCTTGACGTGGTGCCAGGCAGGGCTGGTGTGGCTTCCCCAGAGCAGAAAGCGTCAGGTGCCAGAGGTGATTGGCAGGGCAGCCCCTGCAGACAGAGGGCTGTCGGGCCGCAGAGGCTCGGGTGGGGGACGCCCAGGAGGGAGGGTGGGGCACCCTGGGGTCACCCGGTGCCGAGGTGTGACCCTGCGGAGGGACCTCTGCACAAAGTGTGTCCCCGTCAGGGCTGCCGAGACTCCTCACCCAAACTCCAGGCTCCAGTCCAGGAGCTTCCAGGCCGCATGGTCACTGGGTGCTCCTGGCGACCCAAGTGCCCGCCCCGCCCCCAGCACCGGGACTTGGGGGCTGGGGTCCTTGTGCCCCTGCCGCTCCCGCTGGAGGGGGAGACACACCAGCTACAGAGCACTGATGACAAATGCCTCATAGTAATAAAGAACCATAGTTCATCTGTCTTTTGTTAGCACCAAGAGCCAGCAATCTTAAACCATACAAGTGCTAAAATATTCCTCCTCCCAAATTTCTGTGGTTCATCTAAATCTCAGTAACCACTGTGTGTGCTGTAGTTTTAATAATATAATGGCAACCTCAGACATGGTCATTTTAAATACACACCCTTTAATTAGCAGTGTCTCCTACATGGACGTGAACGTGGAAGACTTCCCACTGACAGCAGCCCTGGCACAGAAAGAATAAGACAGAGAATACGTTAGTCTTAGTTCTGCCCTTTTCTCTTTCAGTAAATTCAGAAAAGGGCTTCCCTAGGGGCTCAGACAGTAAGGAATCCGCCTGCAATGTGGGAGACCTGGGTTCAATTCCTGGGTTGGGAAGATCCCCTGGAGGCAGGAATGGCAACCCACTCCAGTACTCTTGCCTGGAGAACCCTGTAGACAGAGGAGGCTGGTGGGCTACAGTCCATGGGGTCACAAAAAGTCGGACATGGCTGAGCCACTTCGCATTCAGGAAGACTTGGGATCCGAGCCCCGTGGGGGCAGTTTGGTCTCTAACATGTAGAGTAGATTTGAAATAATCAAGGGTAGCCCCTCTGTACATTTACCGGCCTAAACAACATTGGGACTGGGGCGTATTTGAAAGCCAGCAGAATTGGTCCCAAAGAAGCATAGGACCGCTGTGCTCAGTCGTGTCCGCCTCTTTGCGACCCCGTGGACTCTAGCCCACCAGGCTCTGCTGCCCATAGGATTCTCCAGAGAGGAACACTGGAGTGGGTTGCCATGCCTTCCTCCAGAGAATCTTCCCGACCCAGGAATGGAACCCAGGTCTCCCACACTGCAGGCGGATTCCTTACTGTCTGAGCGACCAGGAGAGAAGCATGGACTTGCTGTTAATGGGATTTGACATCACATGGGATTCCTGTGCATCTCTCCCAATCTTATCTTTTAACACTTTTACTATTTGTTACTTAACATGAAACAACATTTTCAAAATTAAAGCAAAAGTGGTCTGTGATCAACAATGAGTAACGATAGGCTGAAAATCTGACATGAAGAGAAATTTAGCTTTCACACAATCATCGACAAATTTGCAAAAGTTAAGGCTTTAAAACAAATTGTAATTACTCATTAATGTGACAGACCGGCACAAAGATATATATGCATTTTCCCATTTTTCAAAATACATTTTTATCGCAATTGAAAGTGTTAGTCCATGACTTTTTCTATCCTTTTTACTGTGACATTTACTTTAATTTTGTTCCCATTTACTTATTGGCATGATAATAAATATAAAATTCAATAAGAAGGTTTTTACACCACGTGTTTCTCTTCTGTCCCATTTTTTGTTGTTGTTGTTTCACTTCGTGGCCATTACTGGCTGTCACGTGGAGACTCCTGGTCGTCTCTGCCATGTGGACCAGTACTCCCAGGGAAATCCCGAGGCCCTGAGGCTGTCAGTGTACTGCGGCCTGTGTGCATGGGGCTGGAGCCATTCTGATCTGTCACTTTCATGTTTCCTGACAACTGGGACGTGGCCAATGTGCTTCCATTTCATTCTCTGTAGAGGCTCCAGTGAAAAGACTGAATAGTCTGACTTTTCCCATGTCTATTTTTTCTGGTCCTTTCTTCAAAGAGAATTGAAGGGTACTGTTGCTCTCTGAGGCCCCTGGAGAGAAAGCTGTTTCCTGCGCAGTGTTCTCCTGTGGTGTCCCTTCCACTCAGAAACTCATGTACAAACACGTACATTTCACAAGAGACTCAGGTACAAACACGTACATTTCACAAGAGGCTTGGGTACAAAAGCGTCCATTTCACAAGAGGCTCAGGTACAAACATTAACGTTTCACAAGAGACTCAGGTACAAAACATACATTTCACAAGAGGCTCAGGTACAAAAACGTGCATTTCACAAGAGGCTCAGGTACAAAAGCATTCATTTCACAAGAGGCTCAGGTACAAAAACGTACATTTCACAAGAGGCTCAGGTACAAAAGCATTCATTTCACAAGAGGCTCAGGTACAAAAACATACATTTCACAAAAGACTCAGGTACAAACACATACATTTCACAAGAGACTCAGGTACAAACATGTAAGTTTCACAAGAGACTCAGGTACAAACACATGCATTTCACAAGAGGCTCAGGTACAAAAATGTGCATTTCACAAGAGACTCAGGTACAAAAACGTGCATTTCACAAGAGGTTCAGGTACAAATACATACGTCTCACAAGAGGCTCAAGTACAAAAACGTGCATTTCACAAGAGACTCAGGTACAAAAACGTGCATTTCACAAGAGACTCAGGTACAAAAACGTGCATTTCACAGGAGACTCAGGTACAAACACGTGCATTTCACAAGCGGCTCAGGTACAAACACGTGTATTTCACAAGAGACTCAAGTACAAACATGTACGTTTCACAAGAGACTCAAGTACAAACAGGTGCATTTCACAAGAGGTGAACAGAGGCTGAAAGGCCCCCTCTCTCCCAGTGCATTTCAGAGACTCGGATATATAATCATTCTACAGACATACAACTTACTATCTCCTCTATTGCAAAAATCACAATGCCTTTCTGCTTGCTGTTGGCACCTAATTTAAGTTTTTGTGAGGCTTTGATGAATACCAGCCATAAAGCATGCCTTTCCTGGGACTTCCCTGGTGATCCAGAAGTAAATATCTTTCAAAAAATTTAAAAAGCATGCCTTTCCTGTGTCAGAAATTACCAAGTGCATTTCTTCTTTTTTTTAATTGAAGTTTAGTTGATTTACAATATTGTGTTGGTTTCAAGTGTACAGCAGAGTGACTCAATTTTATATATTGATGCTTTAAAAATTTTATTTTCCATTATAGGTTATTACAAGATATTGAGTAGAGTTCCATGTGCTATTTGGTAAATCCTTGTCCCTCACCAGTGCGTTTCTAGGCCTTGCCTAGGCCAAGGGACCCTCAGCTCCTAGGGGGCAGGGCCTGGCCCATAGCAGGAGCTTGAGTCCGCCCCCTCTCCCACCCCTCCCAGCCCCTCCTTGGGCACCCCTCGGGCCAGCAAGCCCCCAGGCCTGGCTCCTGCCCACCTTGTTCTCAGACCCCAGGGCACAGTCTGTGATTCCCCCTGCTCCTGGAGTGTGGGCTGAGCCATCGTCGGAGGACAGGAGCCCCCGCTCCTGCCCGCCTGCCCGCCCAGTCCCAGAACAGTGCTCAGGGCCTTGTTTGGCATGCAGTTAGCACCATGGGAACTGCAGGAATCTGAGCAGGACCCGGCTCAGCCCACCCGGAGTGTCAAGCCCTCCATGTGCCCACATCATTCGTTTCTGAGCCCTTTCTTTAAGAAATAAATACATAAAAGTCAAATGTTTTGAGAATTGAATCTTAGCCTCTTTCTTTTTATCAAGGCCTCACCATTAGCACCTGAATCTTGTTTTATTTTGCTTCTCAAGCTGAAAATATACTTCTGCTGACATGTTTATATCTTCTCTGTATGTAAGTTAATCAGTCAAAACCACTAGTGGCCCCACTGTGCTCACAGCCCTGGGCCAGGCCCTTGCCCAGCCAAGCCCATGGGTCCGCCGAGGGCACAGGTTGCTCTGCACACAGAAAGGCCTGTTCCAGGGTCTCCTCCGGGATTCCACCTGAGCCGGAGCCCAGCTCCACCTCTCTGACTACAGATGCGTTCCTGTGGCTGGGATTTTTAACACAGCTACGTATTTCTCACAATATCACTGACCTTCGTCTGTCACCTTTCACTCCGATCCATGCGCTTGCTATCTGATAGCCCCGTTCTGTTTCCTGGATTTCTTAATTCACTGCCTTTCTCACAATTTATGTTCATTTCTCAGAAGAGGGTGATGCTGATTGTTTGCTGTGAAACTAGCTCTGGACAAAGTTCACAGAACCAGTTGAAACGGTTGCCTAAAGCCATGTTTCTTCTCTCGAGAAGCATGGCTGGTCCTGGCACTGCACACCTTTCTGAAACAGACTCGGGACGACGTCGGCGGCGGGAATATTGAGTGTGCCCCAGGCTCAGCGCGAGGTGCTCTGCGGCGTTACTGCGTGCAGACCTGCCTGCTTTATGCCCGCACCCCTTTTCTCCAGGTTTCTCGGGAAGAAGTCCACACTCTAGGTCTTCTCTCCAACAAGTTCTTCCTGAGACTATGAAAATTTATCCACCCTCTGCAAATGAAAGGCATCTACAGTGGCATTCAGAAAATTACTTTGGCTTGGTCAATTCTATAATGCTTCACAAAATGCTCCCACGCAGAGAGCACCTTCAGGTGCATTTACTTGTTTTCCCAACAGAGCCGGTTAGTGTCCCGCACCAGTGCTCAGCTGACCTGGAACTCAGGTCCAACTCGTAGTCCAGTGCTCTTTGCTCTACACCACGTCAGAACCAACAGGCTCTCCGTGTGAGCAAAACAAAGATAACCGCCAAAATAATTTGGGCACAAAGGTCGAAGCAGTGTTGTCATGTGACACAACCAGGTCCCAGCAGATTGATTTATGATTTAATAAAGCGGAATTGAATCACAGAATCACAGGCCGCAGTTACCTGGTCTCCACATGATCCACTCACACAGGAAAGTGTCATTCTTCGAGGAAGGTGGCTCTGAAACTGTCTTGAGGCTTGTAGACTGGAGCTGGTTGTCAAAGATCCACTGACGAGGCCCAGAGAAGCAGTGGGCAGCAGGGCAGCAGGTAGAGAGGGGTATGCCGGGGGCACCTGCTGGAAGAACCGAGACAGAGGCGCAGACGATAAGCTAAAGGGGAGCGGCAGCGGCAGCAGGCAGGTGGCCCGAGAAGCGGGCAGACAGGGAGGAGGGAAGTTGGTCTGGGGGAGGGACGGACCAGGAGCAGGGCCCACGGTCCTGGGGACTGGCCGGGAAGAGTGCAGTGTGCTGCATGCTGGACAGGTCAGCGTGAGTCACACATTCTCCAGCACAACTCTAGACCAGTGGGAGCTCTTCGGTCTACACCGAGTCATCAGACGTACCTCAGCATAACTTTAAGACCAGAGTCTCGGTCTCCTCTTGTACAAAATTCTTTTACCCTAGAACTTAAAAAAAATAGGTCTGAGGTCCATGGAAAAGAATTGACTTTTTCAAGAGAAATTTGAGTAGGAAAGGAAACCATGGGGCAGTTGAAAAGTAGTTACAACAACCGATCTAAAGAGGCAACTGTAAATATTTTCATGGATGATGGTTAAGTATGGTGGTGACTACATCTATGACTCTCTTAGCTAGAATAAACCTAGTTGAGTTGTTGAACCAGTAACCCTGCCTCCCACTTTTTTTTCTGTAAGTTTAAAACTTGAAGCGTAGAAAGCCGAGTCACCACTGTATTCTTAACTTAGCTTGCATCACTTGGGCAGTGAGGACCATGTTGCTCACTCTGGTCATGACGCTTGACAACTGTCAATATTTGGAAAGAGAACTTTAAAAATTACTCCTGAAGCTTATCTTTATGTATCTGTCAAAAAGAGGTAGGGAAGAAAACCCTGACTTTGGATCTACTCTAGCAATGTCACCTTTTCCCCCAATGTTTTAGAATATGCTAATTTTTAACAGGTGTTTGTTGCCCAGATCCTGCTCAGCAAAACACTACTGTAAAGTTGTGCATATTTCACAGAATATGCGTGAGACATCCTCTGTCTTTTACTGCCCGTTGTTGTGGCTGATCAGCAAGTCAGAGAGAACGTTCTACATGACACTTTCTAGGAAACCAGTGGGATTTAACTGGTAGGTCAGCATCCTTCCTGCCCTCAGCTCACTTCAGAGGTTGGGCCTAATCAGAATTATTGATCACTCAGTTGCTTTTCCTGAGATGTTGGCAGGCGTTGTTGGGTGAACCTCCTCCTAGCACCTTCCACTGAGGCTGGTGTGAGTTCCCATGTCCTCAGTTTGCTGGCCTTCAAGCAGGGACAAGACTTCTCAGAATTTCACTGTCTTGTAACATATCAGATGCAGACTCATTAAAACAGAAAGTTATCTTTTTGCCTGAGAGGCCTTGGGGAAAATTTAAATTGTTGAAATTGAAATCATCTCTTCTTTTCCACAAAGTCCCCACAGCTTCCAGCAAAAGGAGGTGGGGGGTGAATTCGCTACCAACACCTTTATCCAAAACTTGGCCACAGTGAGGTCTTGGGATAATTTACCCGACAGCCTCCATTTCTAACCCACTGTTCACTTTTCACAGGTCCATTAGAGCTGAAGATTCTAGAAATGTCAAGTGCTGCCTCACAGAGGGTTGAATATGTATTGGGTATTTATAGTAGGTAATTATAACTTCATCAGGAAGGCTCCAAACCCCTGGGAATAACCGGGATTCCAGGTAAGGGAGAGTATTTCTGTTCCCCAAAAAGAGGCCCCAGAATTGTTTGACTAGCAACAGTAGCTGTTGTTTAACACACAGCAAAGGAGATAGGCTTCTTTTTTCTTTTTTTACTGTGGCAGAGGTTTGAGTCTGCCATGGGGGATTCTGGGGGGTTTCAAGCCTTTTTCCCCTTTGCATCTCATGTCACAGTAGGCATGCTCCATCATGAATGGTCCCCACCTCACCACGAAGAATGCACAAGGTCCTACAGGGCAGACCCCGTGGGCCGCCTGTCTTCTTCCTGGCCAGGTTGGACATGGGTGACCATGCGTACACACTGTTTTCCATAGAAAGACACACATAAGCACTGACTACACAGCCCGTTGGGTTGCATCAGGTGCTAACAGACGGTGCAGCTGTTTGACCGGCAAAAACATCTTGCTTGGTCTAACGGTCACTGTGGTCAGCAGCATGCTGGGGTCTGGCCTTGGTTTGGGGAGACCACGGCCCAGACTCCAGGGAAGTCCCTGGGATGGGGCTGCCCATCCTTCTGCAGTGCGTTTACCCTCCTATTGGGTTTTTTTTTTTCCACTTTTTAAAAAACAGCTTTATTGAGGTCAAATTTACATACTATAAACGTCACTTGTCTGGAGTGTTCATCTCAGTGAGGTTGAGAACCCTGACCTGGCCATGCAGCTGTCACCGTAAACCAGATGCACCGTGTTTCCACCAGCCCATGGCCCTCCCACCCACCCCGACGCCCACCCATGCACTGTCGTTCCCTGTAAACTGCCTTGCAGAATGTGTCATATAAACAGGACCTCTGGGTCTGGTGTCCTTCCTGGCATACAGTTTTTGAGAGTCATACATGGTGTAGCATGTGCTGGTATTTCTTCCCTTTTTATTGAACAGACATTGTTTTAGTTTTGTTTGTCTTGCTTTTTACCAGAGTTAAGGATTCATCCATGGTTCTGCACTGGGCTGTCTGGGGGCATTGTGTTGTCACGTGTGGAGGCAGGCTGCTCCCAGCATCTGGTGGAGAGGCTGGCGATGCTGATAAACAAGCCCAGCAGCAAACGTGACCTGTGCCCACACGCCAGCGGTGCTGAAGCTGAGACTCCCTGGGTTGGGCCTCAGGAAACATCCTCTGACCCTCAAAGCACATGTTCAAAGCCAAGTGTCACCTGAGGGACTCTTCCTTTGTGTGTACCACATATCATTGATGTTCTGTTTGTCTAATTTATATGTATGTTTAAAATATAAACTCATTTGCAAAATTGATACTATTTTTTACCATTTTGGAAAATTTTGCAATCTCCAAAAATATTATTCAACAGGTTGCATTGTCCACCAGGGAGAAAGAGGAGGAAGAGGAGTAGATAGTTCTTGTTTCCTGGTTGATGTCTCAGTAGAACTTGGTTCTGGAAATTTATTGACAGAAAAGGGACAAATGGCATGGCTTGTACAGCTTAAATTCTAGGAGCTGCAAGAATCGTTGGGGGCTTATAATAAAGGAATTTAATAAAGGACATTAAGCTTACTTAGGAAAACATTGCACCATAATTTTTGTGGCATAACAGTGTTATGTACTCTGGTTATAATTTTCCACTTCATCTCCAGACCTTTGAATCTCAATGTTATTCTTAACATTAACGAATAAAGTTTACAGGTGGCAGGAGTTAGAAGAAACAGATCCAAAAAACAAAACTGAAGACGTTTTTATCACCCAGCCTAACACCTCTCTTGAGAAAAAAGAAATCAACCAGAATTAAAATATTTTGTTTTACCTGAGACTAGGGTCCTTGCTTGACTTTTCCTCTCAAGTGGTTGAGGTACCAAGAGGTGGGATTGTCTCTTGGTTCCTTTGAGCTTTGTGTGGTGATGAGTAAGAAACAAAGTTCTCTGGAACTTAGTAATGCAAGAGGAGACTGAAGTGCTGTGAGTGGAAAAGCCGTCCCCAGCAGGGGCACCTCAGGGGATCCGGCAAATAAACAGTGTGTTCCTGCTGCCCTGGGTGGCTTCTCGCTCAGACCACTCCTGTGTCCCCACGGGCGAGGCAGGGCGCAGGGCAGGCTGAGCGGGGTCTCCTTGCAGCTTGCCTGCTTTCTGACCTCCCGTATCGCCCCTGGGTCTTATCAGCTCCTCCTGCCTTCACGTCAGAACTACGTGGTGGAGGTAAACGGAGGGCAAATGCAAACATACGTGTGCAGGTGCGGACACGTGTGTGCAGATGGGCGCCTGCATGTACAGCCACGTGACACATGCCACACAACATGCACACACACAACACACGTGGGCACGGCACAGAGGCACCACACAGTCCTCAGAATGACCATACGCACTTTGGAGACACATTCGTCACCCCCAGGTAGCTATTTTGTGTCTGTGTTACAGTTGAGGACACAGGCTCAGAGAGGTTGAGTAATTTGAACAGGGCCACACAGCTGTTAAGTAGTTGAGATTAGAACGAAGTTTTCTCTAAATCCAAATTCCAAAAAGAAAAGTAGTACTAAAAGAGATCTGGCCCTTAAAATCTGTACCCAACAAAAACAGACCAGGTGATGACAAGCATTTGTATCTCCCGGTTCTGGAGGCAGAAGTCCAGGGTCAAGGTGTCAGTAGCAGACACGGAGTCTGGGGAGGCCCCTTCCCAGTTCACAGATCTCCATCCTCCTTTGTGGTCAAGGCAGCTGTCTGGGTCACCTCTGCGGGGACGCCAATCCCATTCCCGAGGCTCCACCCCCAAGGCCCAACCTCCTAACACCTTCACCTCGGGGGCCAGGGCTGCAGACACGAATGCCTGTGGCACCGACCCTTCAAACAACCGTTCTGGGGAGCTCACCCGTGGCACCAACTTCCTATCAAGTTAGTACTGCACGTTCCTAACCTGGAAAGGCCACGGACAAAAGGCTTGTGTTCAGAGCTAGGAGGCTCTGCCATTTCTGTTGGCTTGCTCTTCACTCCTGCCACCTTCAGTCACAGTTTCCTGCTAATAGTTCTCTGGGGGCCTGTCTGCTCAAATCCACATACGGGGCCCTGCAGTGCCCATGCTGGTCACCTCTAGGAGGGGCCACTGTCGCTCTCTAGGCTAAGCAAGGAGTCGGCTCATTTGTTTAAACTTTGCGTTAAAACAAACAGAAGTTCTGGCATACCCCTTTGGAGATCTGCTAAGAACACACAGCTGGCCCTGCGGTGCCCCGGCCCCTAGAAGAGAGCTGTGCTGACACAGGCTGACTCTGCGAGAAGGCGTTTGGGCAGGAGTCACCTTCCCCTCAAAGACTGAAGGGGCCAAGTGACAAACCTCCGGTGGAGCTGAGCCTCCGAGCTCCCTCCAGTCTGCGGGGCGGGGTGCTCAGGCAGCTTTCCAGACTCTCGCATGTGCCCCACGGAGTATGAGCTGTGAAGTGACGCCTCTAGGGGGGCCGGGGGGAGATTCGGGGTGTAAAGTCTGCTTTCTGTGCTCTCACCTCCTGGAGTGAGTCGGGAGCCAGGCTGATGGAACAGCATGTGTGCCCTGTGAGTTTGCCTCACACCCCCAGCGCTGGGAACCCAGGAGTCCGCCAGGAGCCCTGAGTACCACCCTCAAACAGAGGGGGGGGTTCTCACAATAATAAAGATACAAGTAAAAGTGCTTCATTGTAGGCGAATTCAACAGTCACGCTCAGGACAGTGTGTCCCCCTCCACCTCGCTCCTGGGGCTGCTCGCCCCTAGCTCCGGACCCCCCAGCTCTGGATGCCCCCAGCTCCTGGAAGCCCCCAAGCTCTGGACGCCGCCCCAGGCTCTGGACACCCCGTGGTTCTGGATGCCCCCGGCTCTGGATGCCCGCAGCTCTGGACACCCACCACCACCACACCCCCACCTGCCCCGTGGGCTTGTGTGCCCCCACGAGCGTGCAGAGGAGCCCTGACGACCTGTTGCCTGTGCGCCCTTGTGGCCCTGCTCCCTGATGTTCCAGGACACAGCTGTCCTGAGTCCTGGCTGCTCTGACAGCTCTCAGTTCTGCAGGGTGACTTATGTCTCCTGGATTCTGTTACCTTACCAGCTACTTTTAGAAATATGAGGTGCTTGATTCCTAGTTTCCGGCTCCCCAGGCTGGCAGAAGCTGGAACTGCCTAAAAGCCTGACTCCTTCTATGGCCCACATGCGGGCAGTGGCTCCAGAGCAATCTGCAGGCAAGGGTCGGGGGCGAGGGGCGAGGGTGGGAAGGGGTGGGGGCTGGGGGGCACCTCTGCCAGGGATGGACGCGGAGGCCTTGCTCCAGGAGGTGTGGATTGGGCACAACTGTGGTTGTGAAATGAGTCTCAGAAACAGAGGCAAGGTTCAAGCCCCGCCACCCCGAGGTCTGTTTCCAGCAAGATGACCTGCTGTGGGGTCTGGCAGTGGGGAAAGTGGGGGAAACTACCCAGGAACCCGAGATGCATGGGGCCAGAAACCCAGCGGCTTGAGGAAGAGAGGGAGGAGCCCCGGCCCCTCCCACCTCCAGGCAAATGCACCTCCTGTGAGCAGCCAGCAGATAGGAGCGTCCCACCCATGGATAACAAGTGTTGGGTCCTAATCTATGGAACAAAGTAAGCGTCTGTGAGTCCACAGTGACGGATATAAACACATAAATAGATAAACAACAACAAATGTGAAAGAAACAAAAAAGGGGCCAAATCACCAACAGGCAAACCTTACAGTAAAAGACATCACAGGAAAGATTTGCTCATTGACACAAGTCACTGGACTTTGAGAGAAAAATAGGGTGTTTTCGTAGTCTCTTATGAAAGATACCTCTTATGATAAGACAGGCAACTTATCCCTCCCCAGAGATTGATCAGTTAGAAAGAAAGAAACTAACCGCACGGTCCTTACCGTGGTGAGCACCCACAGCGTGGTGATCGGTGAGGAAGTCCAGTCTCCAGGAAGAAGATACACCTCGAGGTGATGCTCGCGATGGGCCACGCACATCTCTGTGGGATTCCTGCTGAAAGGCATCCCCTCAGCCACTCCGCACTGAGGAAATGCCAGACAAGTCCTCACGCTGACACTTTCCACAAGATCATGAGCCCTAGGGCGTGAAAGACAAGAAAATGTTGAGAAACCATAGAAAAGTTCTCATGACCTTCTCTCCTAAAAAACAAACAGATGATGAGGGTTGAGATGCAGAGAAGCTCATAAGATTGGCCTGAGCTTGGCGTCACCTGGAAGCCTTGCCAGTCCAGTGCAATGTGGCCCCAAAGTCTCTGTCGGGATGAAATGAGGCATGAGAGAAAAGCACCTGAGTGTGGCAGATGGAGATGGACAGTTAAGGTAGTACAAACTCAGATGTCTTTTTTTTATTATTATTAATTTAATCTCATTTGAAAAACTGTCTGAATTCTCGAATTCTTGCTGCCCGCCCGAGAACTTGCTTTATGTAGAGCACTATTGTAAGTCTTTGGAAAAAGAAAAGAATTAGAAAACAGGATCCTTACCCTCAGAACCTAGGGGAAAATAAGGCATTACAAGACAAAGACACAAATCAAAGATTAGAATATGCTTGTAATCATTGACCACACACTCCCCTCACCTACAGCACTTGCCAACTCTAGTCTTTAGCCTCTAAATTGCAAGTGGTTTCGGGGGATTGAATTACTTTATTTATTTATATTTTCGGCAGCGCTCGGTCATTGCTGCTGGGTGCGGGCTGTCTCCAGACCTGCAGAGCAGAGTTCTCATTGTGGGGGCCTCTCTCATCGTGCAGCATGTGCTCTGGGGCGTGTGGACTTCAGTATGTGCAGAGCACAGGCTCAGAAGTTCTGGCACACTGGGGGCTCAGTTGCCCCAGGGTGTGTGGGATCCTCCCAGATCAGGGGTCAAACCTGTGTCTCCTGCATTGGCAGGTGGATTCTTAACCACTGGGCCACCAGGGAAGCCCTAAAGTGCAATTGTTTGAAGATGGGTGTCAATCCGTCAGTGCCTGGTCTCACAGCCTAGGGAGTGACTTGCGTATTGTTAAAGGTACTCAGAAATATTTGTTCCATGAATAAAATGTCTTACAATTTCTAAAAATGCTTATAATGAGTGGATAAAGAAATGTGTTATATACATACAGGGGAATTGTTCGACAACATGGACGGACCTTGATGGAGGGTGTTGTACTCGGCGAGGTGGGCAGATGCTGAACCTGGGGCGGAGGGCAGACGCAGCACAGACCCTGTGTGGCCTCACTTGTGTGCAGGAGGTGGGCAGATGCTGAACCTGGGGTGGAGGGCAGACGCAGCACAGACCCTGTGTGGCCTCACTTGTGTGCAGAATCTCCAGCCGCTGCACTCAGAGCAGAGGGGAGAAGAGTGGCAGAGGGGCTGGAGGAGGAGAGCGGGTGATGCTCAGAGAGCACCGTCAGCCGCAGGCACCAGGCTGAACACGCACAGGTCCTGGAAGTCAGTGCTGAGCCTGGTGCCTGCAGCTGACGGCACCGTGGCGCACTCACCCTTGGCTGAGATGACTGACTTGTGCGAAGTATTCTTGCCGCAAAGTAACAACAACAATAGTAGTGGCAATAGTAATAATAACAAGGATGGGAGGAGACTCTGGGAGGTGATGGATGTGTGTGACCTGATCGCGTCCCAGACGACAGTTATCCCCAAACTCAAGTTATACACATTAAGTAGGTACAGCTTTCCACATGTCATTCATACCTCAATATAGCAGTTCACAATTTAAATACATAATTAATTGACTTTTAGAAAACATGCACATGGACATTAGATGAGCTCTGAGGTGGAACTCCTGCCAAGCAAAGGGACAGCGCGT